TGGCAGTTTTACCACCCCACCTCGCGCCGTGTCTTCCCCTCTCAGGACGTCACGTTTGACGAATCGGTACCCTTTTACCGTCTCTTCCCCTACCGCACTGCCCCGCTCCCCCCCCCCGCCGCTCTTCCTCACCCCAGGTGTCCCGTCGGTAGACCCCCTCCCTCCCCAGGGTGCTGCTCCCTCCGGTGTGTCCCAGGTAGACCTGGTCGAGCCTGTCGAGGTAGTTGTCGACTCTGGTCCTGCGCGAGGTGCTGAGCGTGCGGAGCCTGGTGGTACTGGGTCTGGGGGTACTGAGACTGGGGGTGCTGAGCCTGGGGGTGCGGAGACTGGGGGCGCTGAGCCTGGGGGTGCGGGGACTGCGGGAGCTAAGCCTGGGGGTACTGCGACTGGGGGTGCTGAGCCTATAGGAGCTGAGACTGGGGGTTCTGAGACTGGCCGTGCTGCGCCTATTGGCGCTCCCTCTTCACAGCAGCTGCGTGAGTGTTACTCCCAGAGTTACAGCCTCCGGCGTGGGGCTACTGTAGCTGGGGGTTCTGCTGGAGTTGGGGCTGGTGGTCCTATCGGTGCAGTGTCGGGTCCGGACCCTCCCTCCCCTCATCGGCTACGTGAGTGGTACGCTCGGCGCTGCAGCCTCCGGAGTGGAGCTTCTTGTGTTAGGGTGCCGCCCGCTGGAGGCCCTGCTGCTGCTGGAGGTTCTAAAGCTACTGGAGGTGCTGCTGGTGCTGGTCCTGCTGGAGGTGCTGCTGGTGCTGCTGGAGGTACTGGAGCTGCTGGCGGTGCTACTGGTGCTGGTCCTGTTGGAAGTGCTGCTGGTGCTGCTAGAGGTACTGGAGCTGCTGGAGGTGCTGCTGGTGCTGGTCCCGCTGGAGGTGCTGCTGGTGCTGGTCCCGCTGGAGGTGCTTTTGGTGCTGCTGGAGGTACTGGAGCTGCTGGAGGTGCTGCTGGTTCTAGTCCCACTAGGGGTGCTACTGGTGCTGCCGGAGGTACTGGAGCTGCTTGGGGTGCTGAGGGCGTTGGCACTACTGCTGGAGGTTCTGGTGCTGTCTCTGCTGGTTCTGGGGGCACTTCACGGCCACAGCCGTACTTCGTTCCCCTCCTTCAGCAGGTTCTTGGTCAGCCGCCTCCTCCGTGTCCTGCTCCCTCCTTAGAGTGTCCTCCGCCTGTCCAGTCGCATTCACAGCTACAGCCTGCCTCGCCACTCCCTGGTCCTTCTCCCTACACTGGTCCGATAGGCAGTCTTACTGAGCGTCGTGAGCCTGAGTCTCATCCTGCTTCGCCTGAGTCTCGGTCTGCGTCACCTGTTCGTACTGCTCGCACTGGTCGTCGTGTTTCGCGTCAGCGTCCTCCTGCTGTCCCAGGCACTCACCAGATGGCGCTTCGTCCTTCCACTGCTCCACAGCGTGTCCCGCTGCCTTCTCCTCCTGCGTGCTCTCTTCCTGCCCTTGCTGACCCAGAGTCTGATTCTCTTCGTGCTGCTAGTCCTACTGTCACGCGTCTCCTGGCCACTGCTGCCACTGACCCTTCCTTTGAGTCAGCTGCTGCGTCTGCCTTAGTTGCTGAGCTTGTCGACTTTGCTGCTCACTGTCGTCTAGATTACGCTGCCAGTCTGAGTCGGAGTCTCTCTGTCCTCCGTCCGTCAGGGGTGAGTGTGCTCTTGGCACGGACGTCCTTGAGGACAGGCAGGAGGAGTTTGAGTGCTTTGCCGCTGCTGTACCTCATCTCGTGGCCATTCTGCTTGCACCTAAGGGAGACCCGGATGCTCCAGACATCCCGACCCTGCGCTCTTACGCTGAGGCGATCGCGGATGAGTACTCCTCTCAGTGGCAGACAGCCATGGACGCAGAGATGGCATCCTGGAAGTCCACTGGCACTTACGTCGACGAGGTTCCCCCTCCTGGGGCGAACATCGTCAGTGGCATGTGAATTTGCAGGGTGAAGCGGCCGCCAGGTTCTCCGCCTGCCTTCAAGGCTCGTTACGTTGCTCGAGGCTTCAATCAGCAAGAGGGAGTAGACCTCTTCCAGACCTTCTCCCCCACCCCGAAGATGACGACTCTTTGGGTGCTGCTGCACGTTGCCGGTCAGCGTGACTACGAGCTTCACTCTCTTGACTTCAGCACAGCCTTCTTGCAGGGCAGCCTGCACGAGGAGATCTGGCTGCGCTGCCCTCCTGGCTTCACTGGGTCGTTCCCTCCTCGTACCCAGTGGAGCCTCCGGCGGCCAGTCTACGGTCTCCGCCAGGCGCCACGTGAGTAGCACAACACACTGAGGACTACACTTGCGGCTCTTGGTTTCGCGCCTTCTACTGCTGACCCGTCGCTGTTTCTGCGCACCGACACCTCGCTGCCGCCGTTCTACATCCTCGTGTACGTCGACGACTTGGTCTTTGACACTGCTGACACGAGGCTCTCGCCCACGTGAAGTCGGAGCTACAGAAGAGACACACGTGCACAGACCTGGGTGAACTGCGCAGCTATCTTGGCTTGCAGATCACCCGGGACAGAGCACAGCGCACCATCATACTGACTCAGTCACACATGGTGCAGCAGGTCCTTCAGCGCTTCGGCTTCACCTGGTCCTCGACACAGGCCACTCCTCTGGCTACAGGTCACTCGCTCTCAGCTTCACCTTCGGACGAGTCCGTAGAGCCGACTGGTCCTTACCTAGAGCTAGTTGGTTGCCTCATGTACCTGATGACTTACACTCGTCCTGACCTAGCGTACCCTCTTGGTCTTCTGGCTCGCTACGTGGCTCCTGGTCGGCACCAACCTGAGCACATGGCTGCCGCTAAGAGGGTACTGCGCTACTTGTGCAGCATATCAGGCACGGGGCTAGTGCTTGGAGGGAAGTGCCCAGTTGTCCTCACTGGGCACTCAGATGCTTCTTGGGTTGACGACCAGGCTACTCAGCGGTCGTCACAGGGTTACACCTTCAGCCTTGACTCTGGTTCAGTTTCTTTGCGTTCTACTCGCTCGTCTTCAGTTCTCAGCTCCAGTTGTGAGGCTGAGATCTACGCCACAGTCATGGCTGCACAGGAGTTACGCTGGCTCACCTACCTGCTGACCGGCTTGGGAGAGCAGCCTCGTTCTCCTCTAGTGCTGTACGTCGACAACAAGGCTGCCATTGCCTTGTGTGAGAAGCACAGACTGGTGCACAGAACGAAGCACATCGCTCTGCGTTACTTACTGGCTCGAGAGTTGCAGCAGCGTGGTCAGCTTCGTCTGCGTTACGTGGCCACTCGGGCCAACACTGCTGATATATTCACCAAGGCACTTCAGTCTGGTGATCATCAGCCTTTCTGCACTATGCTAGGGCTTGTGCCCACCTTTCCTCACTTGCTGTAGGCTTTGCTTGTACTGTGATATATATATATACCTGCATGCTTGCTTTGCTAGGTAGAGATCACTGTGCTGTTTGTGTTGCATATATGCCTCTGCATGTGAACTGGCGTTGTGGCCCTTTGCTTGTGCTCAGAGTGTGTGGTGACGTTGTGATCCACCCTGAGCTTGCTTTGCCTTTCTTGACTGGTCTTGTGACTCCTTGCTCTCCCCCACTTTGCCTATGGGGGTGTGTCAAATGTTATATCTGCTACAGTTTGTTTAGGCTGTAGTGGGGTAGTTATTATGGGGTACAGTAAGTTTAAGGTTTCCTACTTGTACCCAACTCTTTCCTAGTTCAATCACTCTTGTTCATTCTGACAAAGAGTTCAGTTCCTTGGACATATGGTGAGTGCTCAAGGAGTTCACGTGGATCCAAAGAAAGTTTAAAGCAGTGCGAACGTGGAAGACCCCTGAGAATATGAAGGAGTTGTAGCAGTTCCTCGGATTCGCTAACTACTACAACCGGTTCGTACCGAACTATGCCAAGATCGCCGCACCACTGACTAACTTGTTGAAGAAGAATACACCATTTCAGTGGGAGGCGAAGCACCGGGAAGCCGTGGAACAGCTGAAATCCGCACTCACGTCCGCACCTGTCCTTATCTTGCCAGATCCCGAACTTGACGATGTCATCGAGGCCGATGCTAGCGATCAAACAAACCTTGCACCGCCGGCCCGGCCGAGTCAACCTATGCTTCGGGGCTAGCCCGAACCTTGATGACAGCCTAGCACTAGCTAGCTCGCACGCACCGCGTAACCGTTGCATGTTTTTGCACACAAGTATTCGCTCATACTTTGTACACGTTTGACACTTTAGTGCAATCCATTGCACCCGTAACAGTCTTAAAAAAATGTGGGAAGTTAGAACTCAAAAATCCAGCTGGGGTTTTTGGTTGGGGGTTGTCATTCGTCGGTTTGGGTTCGCATGGGCGAAAACTCTTTCGCCAAAGCTCCCTGAACTATAGCGACGACGAGCCCACCCGTAACGTTTTTCGTGAAGCCCATCGTTTTCGATCGTTCATCGTAATTCACGACAACGAGCCACTGTTCTCGATGACCCAGGCAGCCACAACCTAAGAAGCCCCTCGTTTTCGATCGTTCATCGTAATTCACTTTTCTCTCAGGCGTTGTCGTTCCCAATGATGTCCTGCTTCGGTTACACCGCCTGGTTTTCGTGGCGGGCTATCGGAAGGTGGATGCTTGCTTGCGACGACGACTCTCGTCTCGAGTCATGACACGTCAGGTCGCAACAATGCCACGTCGCGCGATATATCCTGACCTATATGAAGACCATGATGGTTGTAGATCCCAATGACGCGCTGCCTCGGTGACGCCGCCGATGAGCTTCGTGGCGCGGAATTAGAAAGCGACTCGCATGCGACGACGACTCTCGTGTCATGACACGTCGGGTCGCCACAATTCCATGTCGCGCGATGGCTCTGCGCAGCGCGGTCCGTGCTGCAAGGGAGTCAGCAGCTTTTGCAAGGCGTTACAGCTCGCGCGGGAAGGACCCTTGAGTTTCAGTCTCCATCAATTCCTATATTTTCCTCGCACAGTAGCAACCTTGGAGCCGACCAGCTTCCCATAAGCGCATCTTCGAATCATATCGCGCCGCATCGCGCCATGGCGGCGTCGTCTCCCTTGAAGCCTGAAGCGGAGTGCGTCTTTGCCTGCACCGAATGCTCCCTCGGCGTCATCATCCCGCGGACGTCGCTCCCGAAATCCACGCTGCCCGGCAGCGCACACCAGGTATCCTGCCCGTTGTGCCGTTCCACGTGTCATGAGATTCCATCCGTGGGCAGTGGCGGCAGCAGCAGCAGCAACGCAACTTCTGAGTGGGAATCTAAGGGAGGCGTGATTGAAGCAGGTCCCCTACATGAGGACGCTGCTGCTGTGAAGAGCGGGTTGGTGATGGCGGAGGGCGAAAAAGACTCCGCCGACTCTGCGAAGGTGCAGGCAGACGGCTTTGCGGAAAAGGACGACGAGAATGATGGAGCTGGAGGGGCCGGGCAGGGGGAGCGTGGCAAGCGCTCGCAAGATTCTTCGGAAGCTAAGGCAGAGACAGGGGATATGGTAGGAGAGGGAGAAGTTGGGAAAGGCAAGGGGAAAGCGGAAGAGACTGAAGGTGCAGGAAAGGAAGACGTGGTGGCAAGTGAGAGCGATGGCAGCGACGACGAGGACGATGGTTCAACTGAGGCTGGCTGTGGGGGAAGCAGCACGGGCATGCCGACAGCAACACCAATTGAGGGAGCAGCAAGTGGCATGGAGTCGGCAGCAGGGTCAGATGCGATAGTCACAGCAGTTGGGCCAGGCACAGCACCCTTCCTTCCCCCTGCGGCAGGTCGAACCACGCGTCAATCATCAGCGCCAGCAACAGCGACAGCAGCAGGGGAACATACAGCATCAGGGGAAGGAGGAGGAGGAGCAGGAACATCAGCAAGGGCAGGGATTGGTGCAGCACTGTTGGCAGCTCAAGGGAGCCGCACACCAAACCCACAGGGGCCGCTTACCGCACGCTCTGCAGTGGCGCATCACAGGGAGAATCAGGGGAATCCTCGTTATCGCAACGGCGTAGGCTATAGCAGCCAGAGGAGCATGATGGGTGGTAGCAGCAAGGCAGAGGAAGAGCTGGAGGCCGTGGTGCTAGCAGGGATTTTGGCACTTGTGGTCGCAGGTGGTTTCCTTGTCAAAAAGGTGGTCGATGGATATTCTGAATCCCCCCCTTCAAAACCATGGTGGGCTTTCTTAGGGTGAGTGAGACTTGCTTGGCTCGGAGCTGTCATGTGTATCTGTGAGTGAGTCAGTTAAGAGCCTTTGTATATACTGTAAATAAGTTGAATTATAATTCTTGTACTGTAACTGCATGTAGATATCTAGTGTGGTATCATTTAGGTTTATCCTTGGTGGTGTACCACCTTCCCCTGCTCTATATCTTGTGTCTTTCCCAATGGTGAACCTTCTATTCAGGGTACATTCCTGGATCGACACTGTGTGTCTAGATCAATGCCACATTTTCCCGAATCGCGTCGCAATGTTTTTGTCACTTTAAAGGGCAGAACCCGAATTGCTCAACGGAAGTCAACGCTGGAAAATAGGTTTGGGAAAGCAGCGAAAATAGGTTCGGAAACCTCCCCTAAACCCTGCTAACCCGAAACCAGCAGGACTGCTTCACAAACTGGCCCCAGTTTGTGAAGGCTTCTTTGTAATTCGGGGGCTGGGCTTTAACTTCGTGTCTCATTAATGCATGAATATAGTACCATACAACAGACGAATGATCATCTGGAATGGCTGCTTGACGTATTGGATACAAAATTATCAGTGCACTAGGCACAGATACAAATAGCAAACCCTAATAAACCCATATTCCCTACACCGTGCTTCAATAAAGCCTAGCACAAAGATATGGTATGTATACAGTTTGACAACATTGTGGTACCCTTATTGTTTCGCTCTGAGCTCAAGCGAATTTTGCCGGGGGTAAGTGTAAGGCAGACAAGATTTGTCATGAGACAAAGGATGAGGCATAATCCACACCAGACATTCCTCTGATGCACCATGCTGTCACCCCTCAGTATATGCTGCTGTGTGCCACTGGCACCCTGATTGTGTCCTGTCCTGAGCTTGAGCAAGACGATACGGTATGCTAGGAAAGTGAAGGGCAAGCTTGAGAGCGCAGAGCACTGTTGACTCTGAAAACCAATAGTGATCCGGCAGATCAACAGGATGAGAAGTATTGAATGAGGCATGCAATAATGTCATGGGGTGTAAGATGAGGCATACCGTAAAGTGGCAAGTGGCAGGAAGGAGGAGGTGAAAGGAACGTAAAGAGAACATGCTGGGGTTGACAAGGAAGGGAGAAGGGCTGGGGACACTTCTTGCTTGAGGTATGGGATGAGACACATCTGTCACACCACTACCATTTCCTGCTATGACACACAAGCATTGCAGCTCATGCAACTCACAAGAATGTACCCTTTGCCGCACGCTGTGAGCGTTCGGGTCTGGTTTGCTGATTACCACCCCTGCAGCAGTGCTTGTTATGCCCGTGCACAAAACTTCTCCACTAACATCCGAAAAAACATGGGTTGGAATTCCTACTTCGATGTAACTCCGGAAGTGGCTCTGGGGTTGGGTTTCCGAAAGTATGGTTCAAGTTGGTGGCCATTATGCTTTTCGAGCGAACCGCGTGTACTTCGCTTCCAAGTGCGCTGGAACCAATCGACAAGATCCGATTGTTTGGTTCGGAAACGAGCGCGATTGGCCGATGGCCTGGTTCATTTCGTTTGGCGATTTCGGTCATTTGATTTTGTCAGAACATATAGCTTACTTGTTTCTGTAGGCTATAGTGGGGTATCCCATAGGGGGTACAACACAATTAGGGTTTCCTATTTGTATTCACTTCACTTCATAGTCATTCATTCTCGTTCACATTTTCTCATGGAATCAGAGCAGGTCCCTTCTTAGGGCCTGTTCCTAGGGCCCACCGAAGCGCGCCCCGAGGCGCGCATTTTTTTTAGCGACCCTCCGTGTCGCCCTCCTCGTCGTGCTCCCGCTTAGGCCCCTCGTCGGCCCCGCTTAGGCCCCACGTCGGCCCCGCGTAGCCCCGCTTAGGCCCGTCGGCCCCGCTTCGGCCCCGCGTCGGCCCCTCGTCGCCCCGCTTAGGCCCGTCGGCCCCGCTTCGGCCCCGCGTCGGCCCCGCGTCGCCCCGCTTAGGCCCGTCGGCCCCGCTTCGGCCCCGCTTTGGCCCCGCGTCGGCCCCGCTTAGGCCCCGTCGGCCCCGCGTTGGCCCCGCTTAGGCCCCGCCGGCCCGCCTAGGCCCCACTTCGGCCCCTCGTCGGCCCCGCCCAGACCTCGTCGGCCCCGCCACGGCCCTACGCCGGCCCCGCTTCAGCTACTGTCGGCCCCGCTACAGCCCGCCACTGGCCCCGCTACAGCCCGCACCGGCCCCTGCTACAGCCCGCGCCGGCCCCTGCTACAGCCCGCCGCCGGCCCAGCTTCAGCCCGCCGCCGGCCCAGCTACAGCCCGCCGCCGGCCCTGCTACAGCCCGCCGCCGGCCCTGCTACAGCCCGCCACCGGCCCCTGCTACAGCCCGCCGCCGGCCCAGCTACAGCCCGCCCCGGCCCCGCTACAGCCCGCCGTCGGCCCGCCGTCGGCCCCGCTATAGCCCTCCCCGCGGCCCCTGCTGCAGCCCACCGTGCTGCACGTGAGCAGCCCCAGCAGCCCGCGCCGCCGGTGAGCCCCTACGCCACCCGAGCCGCGCGAGCCGCCTGAGCCGCCCGAGCCGCCCGAGCCGCCCGAGCCGCCCAAGCCGCCCGAGCCGCCCGAGCCGCCCGAGCCACCTGAGGAGCTGTACTGCTGTTCCTGAGCTGTGTTCCTCTGCTGCCGACTACCCGACTCTCCCAGCCCGGTGAGACTTTCAGCTGCTGCCATGGCCACCCCCAATGTTCTTACTTTTGACGCTGAGGGGAGGGCCATTGACTTTGCCGTCTGGATTGAAGACCTGCAGCTGTACTTACTGTGTGATGCGATAGATGAGGTCTCTCTCTTTGACTTTGTCTCTGGCGCTGTCCCTGCCCCACCTGCTGATGCTGACTCTGCCGTTCGCTCCAAGTGGGCGACCCGCAATGCTGCTGCACGTCTTGCTGTGCGTCGCCACCTCCCTTCCTCTGAGCGTGCCCACTTTAGTCAGTGCAAGACCGCTCAGGCCTTTGACGAAGTTTGAAGAAAGAAAGAGGGGATTGAACTAGCAAGAATGAGGATACAAATAGCAAACCCTAGAAGGGTTGTACTCGCTATAGAGCACCCCACTACAGGCTAGAACAATAAGATAATATTATGACACACCCCCATAGCCAAAGTGGGGTGTAATCAGCAGAGCAGGCAAAGCAAAACAAGCTCAGGGTGGATCACAATGTCACCACACATTCTGAGCACAAGTTCAAGAAGAAATAGTTTAGAGTTTACAATTATAAGCAAAGCTAGTGGTAGTCACAACGGGCAAGTGAGGAGGAGGAGGGAGAGTGAGGGGAGAGGAGACAGGAGGCGACGGCTGAAGCTGCAGACACACGGGCAACAGGAGGCAGACTGGCACAGCGGCTACCGGACAGCGCCCGGACTACAGGGGTAACAGGCCCCGCGGCTCAAATAGCGGCGGACGGGCAACGGACCCACGGGCGGCTGGCACAGCTGGCTACGACTGGGCTACCGGGACAGCGCCTCGGACTACAGGTGCTGCTGACGACAAACTGGCAACCTCCGCTCATCCTCCCGCACACAGTCCCACCCCCCTGATACACACCCACTGCTACACCACTAGCTCTACTCCCACGCACCCCCCTAAAACCCTAAACCCCAGTCTCCCACACAACCACCCCCCTCAGCGACAGCTGCAGCAGTGGGAGACGAAGGAGGAGGAGGAGAAAGGGAGGAAGGCACACCGGCCACCCCCATACCCGCCACCCCACAGCTCGCCCCTCAGGTCGCCACGACGGACGACGGGAAATGGGGGAAGGGGAGAAGGGGGGGGGGGGCCACCACGGACCTGAGGGGAGGGCGGGGCCGCGACAAGGGGCGGGGCCGCGACGGTCGGGGTGGGACCGCGACGTAGGGTGGGGCCGCGACAGGTCGGGGCCGCGAAGGTAGGGCGGGGCCGCATAGGGTCCGGGGCGGGGCCGCGACGTAGGGCGGGGCCGCTTCGAGGGGCGGGGCCGCGACGCAGGGGCGGGGCCGCGACGAGGGGCGGGGCCGCGACGGTCGGGGCGGGGCCGCGACGGAGCGGGCGGGACCGCGACAGGTAGGGCGGGGCCAAGCCGGGCAGGCGCACGGGCGGCGACGGGCCGGGGCGGGGCCGCGACGAAGGGCGGGGCCGAGCCGGGCAGGCGCACGGGCGGCGACGGGCCGGGGCGGGGCCGCGACGTAGAGGAGAAGCCCGCCGCGCGCCCCGGGGCGCACAGCGGGCAATGAACCGCCGCGCGCCTCGGGGCGCACGGCGGGCAGAAAACCGCCGCGCGCCTCGGGGCGCACGGCGGGATGAAAAAGTAGCACCGGAAGCAAGGTGGGGACACACCCACAGGATCGATCCAGGGGGATCGACCTGCTCTGATAGCATGACGAAGTTTGAAGAAAGAAAGAGGGGATTGAACTAGCAAGAATGAGGATACAAATAGCAAACCCTAGAAGGGTTGTACTCGCTATAGAGCACCCCACTACAGGCTAGAACAATAAGATAATATTATGACAGCCTTGTACGACGCTGTAGTTGCACGCTACTCCTCCCCTTCCTCCGCTACCCTCAGCCGCCTCATGCTACCGTTTCTCTTCCCTGACCTCGCTTCCTTTCCCACTGTCGCTGACCTCGTTACCCACCTCCGTGCTAGTGACACCCGCTACCGCGCTGCCCTTCCTGCTGAGTTCCGCGCTGCGAACCCTCCTCCCATGTACATCACTCTCTACTTTCTCGTCACCCGTCTCCCTGAGTCCCTTCGTGTCGTTAGGGACCAGTTTCTCTCTGTCTGTCCCACCACTCTCACTGTCGACCTCCTTGAGGAGTCCCTGCTAGCGGCTGAGAAGAGTATTGTCGCTGTAGGGGCCTCTCGGGGTGACCCTCGCACCCCCATCTTTGAGGGGTGTGGTCCTTCCCCCCTGCTGCCCTCTGTCGCCTCTGCCGCTGCGGCCGACCTCACTGGTTTTGAGTCGGTCGGCGCGGCGTCTACCCCCAGCGGCAGACGCCGCTCTGGCAAGGGCAAGGGGGGCAAGGGAGCGGGTGGAGCTAGAGGGGGCGGTGGAGGAGGCGCTGGGGGTGGCGGGGGGAGTGGGGGTGGCGGTGGGGGTGGTGGCGGGAGTGGAGGTACTGGTGGCGGCGGTGGAGGCGGAGGTGGCGGCGGCGGTGGTGGCGGAGGAGGCGGTGGGAGCGGTGGGAGCGACGGTCCTGGTGGGGGAGGTGGCGGTGGAGACGGGGGTGGCAGTGGAGGCGGGGGTGGCGGTGGAGGCGGGGGTCGG